AGAAAAGGGAACCCTAGTGCACTGTTGGTGGGAATGAAGACCTGGGCAGCCAGTGTGGAAAGCAGTATGGAATTCCCTCAGAAAACTAAAAATGGAGTTGTTTTTTGACCTACCAATCACAGTTCTGAGAATATATCTGAAGGAACCCAAAACACTAATTCAAAAAAACATAAGCACCCCTATGTTCATTGTAGTGTTACTTACAATCACCAAGATATGGAAGCAGCCCAAGCGTCATCCATCAGGAGATGAGTGGATAAAACAACTATGGGACACTGATGCCATGGAATTCTACTCAGCCAGAAAAAAGAAAGTTTTACCCTTTGTGACAGTATAGATGGACCTGGAAAACACTATGCTAAGTGAAATAATCCAGTCAGAGAAAGACAAATACTGTACGATTTCACTTATATGTGGAATCTAATAAAATAAACTAACAAGTAAAACAGAGACAGACTCATAGAGAGCAGACTCATGATAGCAATTGGGGAGGGAGATTAGAGGTGGAGGGAGGGAGCAAGAAGGAAAAGTGACTTATGGACATGGACAACAGTGGTGACTGCAGGGAGGAGGGGAGTACAAGGAGGTTAAATGGTAATAGAAATACACTAAAAAATTAAAAAAACATATTTAAATGAACTTGGAAAATTGTTACATGTGTGCACTGGGAAAATAAGCCCATCATGGGCTCTTTTCCAACAAACAGGCTGATGAAAAATGGTACTGGACACAAAGATTTTACCCTATAATATCCAGTCAGACACTACGGAGCATTCCAGTTGCAGCCAAATACTGCCCACCCAATGTAATTATGTCAGAACACGCACTAGAACACCGTGCGTGTAAGTGGGCTAACAGGTAATCAGTGCCACAGAAAACACGGCAGGAGACAGGTGGTCAAGGAAAATTCCCTTAGCCTAAATGATCTGACAGAAAGTCTTTTCTAGATTTTGTTTTACATCTATTTCATATTAAAACATTTTACATTTTTATAATTATTTTGCAACATGATGTGTTGATATATGCCAGACATTGTCCATAATAATATCTATGACTTTGAAGAACATTTTAGAAAATATTTTGGTACCATAATGCAAAAAATCAGCTATATCTGTGCTTACTGATAAGTTTTTTAACTTGACAATATACCCCTGAAGTACATAAACAACCATAGAAAACATGCAGCACATGTTTCCTTGTGGACTTAAGCTCTTCCCTTACACTCTAAGGTCCTCGAGTTTGGTTGATGACTAATTCAGTTTTATGTCCCCGGACTGCCTAGCACTGAACTCTTTAATCAATAGTTGTACAAGTATACTCAGAAAAATACTCTTATTACAACAAAGCATTCTCTATAAAGAATCCAATTTGTGTTTCCAATAGGTTGTTCACAATAACAATATTCTCTTGATATACTTATTGAGATGTTTCACAAATGAGCCTACATAATGAAATATTTGTTTTCTGGTTCTGTGCTTAAAAGATACTCAATTAACCAGAATCTCGACTAGCCAGAACCTCCTATTGGGTTGCTAAAAAAGTCTGTATGGTTTTTTTCCCTACAATAAAAGACACATTTTTCATTTTCACCAGTAACTTTACTGATTTGGATATTTTGAGTATGTCAGCTACCTCCCATATGGTATTATGTTGATCGTCCTCAATTAATGTCTCAATTTGATCACTATGAATTTCAACTGGTCTACCCGACTGTGGACTATTGGTCAAGGAGAAATCTCCAGTACAAAACTTCGCAAACCACTTTTGACACGTTTGGTCAGTCGCAGCACCTTCTCTATACACTGCACAAATCCCTTTTTGCATTTCAGTTGCATTTTTACCTTTCTTGAAATAATAAAGCATAAAATGCTGAAACATTGCTTATTTTTTCCTCTTCAACATTAAAGTGACTACACAAAAATTCACCAATTTTGATAATAATTGGATGCACCCTAATATGACAGCTGTCACAATACAATCTAACAAAACTGTTATGAATGAAACTGAAGACAACTAAGAACAACTAGAGACATCATATAGAAAAAAATAAATGACCTTTTTGGCCAACCCAATACTTAACAGATGTTTATCCTGCAATCCAATTGTTAAAAAAAAGTCAATTACAGAAACAAAAGATACAAGTCAACTTAAAACTACTCGTTTGATGATATTCTAGAGTATTTAAATGATTATTCATATTGTGAATAAAAACCTTACAGGATCACAAGCGCCTCAGTTACCAAAAAAAGCACCCTATATTTAATAAGGAAGAAAAGTATATTAGCAAAGTTTAGAAATTTTTTTAAAAAATTAAGGATGAAAACAAATGGATATTGTGATTAGCCTTTAGATTAGCAAAAAATGTTCAGTTAGCCATTAAGATACACATTACTTGACTGAAATATTTCAGTTGGCCGCAGCTTTACCTTACGAAGAAAACACCAATACACATTGACCCCAAACCTTAAATGACCACAGCCTGTCTCCCAACCTCCACCCCAAGCAGCTAAAATGGTCCCTGGGGGACAGTGGGGGGTGCTGCCCTGATGGCAGAGGAAATTTAACAGCCTCTGGGAAAAATCTCCTGTTCAGCACAGAATGAAAGGACATTCCTTTCCTTGAAGAAAGATAAAAAACTCAAAAACACTTTTAACAAGTCACCTTGTCAAAAGTTTCTGGGGACAAGCAAAGCCCCCTACCCTTGTCCTCCATCCCCCAACCAACCCTTGGCTTGCCACTCTGCCACTCCCCTCCTCTCCTTTACCTCACTTTGACCGCCACCCTTCTGCCTGTTCCTCATTTTATCCTGCTTACCTTTTCTTCCCTCGAGAACCACCCCCCACCTCACTGCATTTCTGTTCCTGCCAGATGAGGCCTTAGCTTAGCTCCACTCTGGCTTACCAATTACTTTAACCACTGATACTTTTGCTAACAATTCCAAAACTCAGCAACCTCTAACATCCTAGGGTAATTTAATGTGAAGCTCAAAAGATCTAAGTAGGTGGCAATGTATGGTTTAAACATATGGCTATCTTCTCTTGCTGCTTAAAAAAAATATGACCTCCCCAAAATAAAAATTTTAAACTCAGAAATATATCAGAAGGAGGCAATGATTATTTTTTCAGCCTATGCTTAAGCTGTTGATTGTCAATGTATCTTATTTATTGAGTATCGAGGTATATTAATCAGTGCTTTTCAACTGGTGGGCCACAAAATTTTTTTAAACATGCAATACCTGATTTATTTAGTCAGGGGCACTAGCATCTTTTCTCTTAAATTGTCAAATAAAAAAAATGACAACAGCCAATACAACAATGGCCACCTGGTGTAAACGAATCAAAATTATACCTATTTTTTGTCAGATTGGCAAAAAGATACTTTTTGGCATGTTGCAGAATTTTAGCAATTAGTTTATGTATGCCACAAGATAAAAAAAAGGCCAAAAATAACTGGTTTAAGTCACCATGTAGGGACCATCAGAAGAATACAAAGATGAACAAATAGGTAAGAAAGATATGGACATAAATAATCACAAGTAAAGGTAGAAAAGTTCACGAAGAGGGAAAGATATGTAGATCAAGGGCTGTAAGTCAAATGAGATTACTGCCAGCTACACAAGTCGATGGAATGATATCCAGGGTGGGCGTTGAAGATGTTCAGCAGTGACTACTGGCAGGTGGGGAGGGGGAGCAAGGAAATGGTAATAAGAAGGAGGGCCACGGAGGCAGGAAATTATGAGCCTCAATAAGAGAATGGGGATTAGTCCAAGGTGGCCAGAAAAGGGGGCATGTGAAGAGGGGCTGCGCTCTGCCCTGCATGTGGAACATGGGGGTTTGGACAAACTCAAAAAGGAGACAATAAAGCCACCAGAATAAAATTTGAGAGGAAAGACAGGTGCCAAGGTAGAAGAGGACCAAGAACAGGCAGTTAGAAATATCTACATTTAAAGAGATGTAATGTCCTTGAAATTGCTCAGAAAGAATGAGACCATTACTGTGCACCATATTCTTTTATGAAAGGCCGATGGGAGAAAATAAGTTCTGTATTAGTCTAAAAGGAATAAATCAAGTTCTAAATGTCAGTAATGGGAATACCACCACCTATCACTGAAAGACATTCCTTACTCTGTTTAGAAGATAAACTATATTCACCTATTTATTCTTACAAAAATGACTCATTTCTAAACAATAAATGATAAGGTAAAGAGTCTGTTTAATTAAGTCACTTAATTCACAAAAACAGAAGGGTCTTCCTGAAGACCCATACACGATGAGCATAGATCTAAAAATCTACTGGAAAGTTCAACTAAGAAGAACAAAGAGAGACCAACAACACTCTTTAATTAGCTTTTCCCATTTAAAAGCATTTCTAGTCAGTCCACTGCATTTAGCTAGCTGACCTCTAGAAAGTCTGAAGTCATCTTTGAATCCCTAGAGTTTGGGATGGTAGCTGGCACTTGGCTTCCTGTAAATGTTTTATTAATGAGAAAAAAATGAAGAAAGAAAGGCCTAACACCAGCAGTTGAGGTTCACACAGCATGAGTATGTCCTGGAGCCAGGACAAGCGTATTCTATTCAATGCACTCTAAGCATTTCAACGTATAGCTCTCAGAGTCCATGAACCATCAGAAAAAGACTGAGCTGTATTTACTATACTATAGTTTCCAAGGTTAGAGCCAGATAAGTTACAAGTGGATATTTTTCAGCAAAAGTATTAGAACTAAAGGATTTTCCACTGAGCCCTAAAATTAATGAACTAGAATATATCCCCTTTGTAAATACCCCACTTAGCTATATTGGATATATTTATCTATACATTGAGTTTCAAGGGCTCTAATGTATAGATAAATACATTATGCTAAGTGAAATATGCTAGTGAAATAACCACACATTGAGTTTCAAGGGCTCTAATTGTGGCAATTTTCATAAGGAATGAATGTCATAGCTTAACAGACCCTAACAGTGTGCTCTGTAACCAGGCAGAAAGGTGATTCTCGGTACCTTTATGGTTTCGGTGGGCACTCCAGGCTCTGGCACTTTATCCAAATAAGTGGTCAAGTCTTGATCAACATGTTCAAACACTAATGTTAGTTTGGTTTCTCTGTCTGTTCTTGACACTGTGCACACATCAAATAACCTAAAAGAAAAAAGAGATATTGAGCAGGTGGCAATAAGCAAAGCAGTAACCCATATGTCTTACACAAATCCCTCCATTTGATCAAATAGGGATAAAAGAAGGTCGGTACTGACCATTCCTTGTGATCATATGCAAGCACACCTACCAGGACCTGACACTTTAATGTCAATATGAAAATTCGGGAGAGGAGCACTTGGTGGCAAAATGCATGGTAGCAAAGAGAAAGCGACAGGACCTGAGCATGGGAATATCTGCTTGGAGTGTTTCCTTGGCTAAGACCTTAGGTGGGACTCGCTGATGGAGACAATTTCAAAAACTGCAGCCTAGGAAAAACGTTGTTCTTAGCTCCCAGTTCAAGAATTATTAAAAAGACCAGTTGAGTATTCTTTGGAGATGCTGGACTCTGCAATGAATTTTTTCCTGGAATTTAAGATGTTAACAATTGTGCCTGTGAAAATAAGTATGACGGAATATAGAAAAATTTGGTTTAATTCTAAGAGAGCCTTCTCATCCTAGTGAATCAAAGAATTTCTCTAGAAAGGGTATACATTTTTGGTTTCAAAATTCCAAATATCATGCTAATCAAAACTGTGAATTTCAAACTTTTTTTCCAGGGATGGGGGGAAGAAACTGCACCAGTAAAACCATATCACCCTTAAATGATAAGGACAGATTACTTGATTATAACAAACTTTATAATCAAGTTTAGATGGGCAAATTCAATATCGTTCATAAAATTCTACAACCAATTCAAATGGAAGTTTCAAAAACAAACTTTTCAGTAGTAAAACAATTTTCAAGTCAAAGGGCAACTGTCCTTTTAATTTCAACCATACATAGCACAATATCTGGTATATAAGATGTCCACCAAACGTTTGAAAAATTAAACCATCCACAAACAAGCTGTAAGTAAACTTCTTGGTAAGAATAATAGAAACACTAAGGAAAGGCTAAAAAATTCTATTTCTATTACTTTCTTTCATTTTTAAAAGTTAGTAAAACTCTCCAAGTAGACTAACTATAAACGTGCTCATAACCCAACTACTAAAATGCAGGGTCGACTCTCAATTACCCACTTTGTATATTACCTCTGCTAAGTCGTTAACTGCAAGCTGGTTCACTATACCACCCTACTGAATTTCCAGGCTACACAGGTCCCACAACATTTGGTACTTCCCTGTGAACCTCAACTAAACTTTAAAAGAAAACTAAAGAACACTGTAAGTTAAATCTAGTGGGGTAAATACAACCACCAACCACGCGTACTTCAAAGCCAGATTTTTAACTATGGGCAGTTTGGGGTGAGTCCTACAATTCCATTAAAATCAATTAAGATCACCTCAGTTTCTTCCTTACATATACCTACTTCCAAATATTCTGAATGCTAAAGTTTTAATAATCTACTTCTAAAGTTAGTTTTTTTCTAAGTTCTAAAGTCTTCCTGTGTCACTAATGTGACGACTTCTGGAATATTATTCTGATAAAATAAAAACTCCTAATTAGTAAATTTATTCAAGGTTGTACCATAAGTCATTAGAGTGCCACACTATGAAAAAGAATGCCATTATGCATGGATCTAACACCTTGGATATTTATCAAGACAATTCTTTAAATTTGGCAATTTGAGGTAACCACCATTCACTCGTAGGCTCCTGTGAACCACCTTCTTCCCATTAAACCTACACAGTTTGACAGCTTCGCTTTTTGCTTCCTTTAGAAGAAAAGGGAGTTCCACAATCATCACCCTTCTTCCTATCTGTTGCTTCTACTTTTGTAATAAAACAAAACAGCGATGAGCCAAGAAAAATCAAGAACAAGCACGGGAACTACACCCCTGCAGCTGTGCTTCTTAAACGTTACTTTAAACATGTTTTCCATTACAATTAATTACATACATTAAAATTCATTTATTCATTACAATTAATCTCCTAAATGCAAACATAGTGTTTAACCCAGCCTGAGGTCAGCATTCATTTCAGTAACTCCAGTTCTTATAGCACTTAAGAGTCTTTAATATACAAGATATTTTACTAATTTCCAAAAGGGATGTAACTGGAGCATGAAGTGATCACAGAACACTGCTGAACTGAAGTCACCGAAGCCATCGGCTCTCAAACGGTCGCTGTTACCCAACAGCCGTGGCAGTACGTGCGTTGCTTCATCTCATAAAACCGTTTTCACACACTCTTGGTATGGCACAATTTGAGAATAACACCTAACCCACCCAAGGTATTTTCCTCAAAGTTATAGCGTTCTTCAAAATATTAAGACTCACTCTTTTGAGAAAAGGTCCTAATTTTGTTTTATTTCTTTTTGTTTTTCAATTACAGTTTACATTCAGTATTATTCTGTATTAGTGTCTGGCGTACAGCTTAGTGGTTAGATAGTCAGATACTATACAAAATGTTTCCCCCGCTATTTCAAGTACACACCTGGCACTTGAACCAAGTTATTGGTTATTATTGACTTTTCTCCCTATGCTGTACTTCACATCCCTGGGACTAATTTCTAATTGCTGATTTGAAAGGCCCTGTTTTAACTGGCAAAAAATTTCCTTAGAATTTTATTTATTTATTTTTAGACAGAGAGGAAGAGAGGGAGGATGTGAAGGAGAGAAACATCGATGTGAAAGAGAAACATCAACAGGTTGCTTCTTTCAAGCACCTCAACCTGGGCCTGGCCTGCAAACCAGGCATAAGCTGAGTTGGAATCCAACCGGCGATCTTTCGCTTTGCAGGATGATGGCCAACCAACTTGAGGCGCATCAACCAGGGCTAATGTGCAAGTTCTTAAACGTGGAATTTTTAAAGAGTCGTGTCACTGCACAGAGTAGAAACTTCTAATGTAAATGTTAATGTGTATGATTATACACACATATCCTAGGCTACAGAAAGAAAGGTAGGAGTGGCTCATGCTGCTTCAAAGAAATAATCTTTTCCTTTAAAATGCCATTATTAACTTCATCTGGGAAATGGAGTGTATTACACTCTCTCCCCAGATTCACAAGCAACATCAAGGGGAGTAGACGTCCCAGGAGGACCTGCAGGGCACCGCCCCCCATTCGGTTCCAGTGCTGGGCGTCCACCTCCTATATCCCAATGCCCCACCGAAGACGTTCTGGGCAGCACTGCTCTACACTGAAATAAGAAATTTAGTTTGACTTCACTGTTTAGCAAACATTATCAGGGTAAAAAGTAAGTTATATTAGACATAAGGGGTAGGAAATACATTTTGAATCAACTGATATAAATACTAATCTTAAGAATTTTAGACCATAATGTACATGATGCTGTTTCCCTTCTAATGACTCCCTCTGGAATGATCCCCAGATCACGTAATAGTCACTTTGGTGGGCAATAAAGAGAAGACAGGTGCGAATCTCACATGAAGTAACCAAGCTAGAAAAGAACTAAAGTCCTCGATACCTGGCAGGAGGTTAACAATCCGTAATATATTTCTATAAATTGATGAGGAATGTGGCCGGGCTGCCTAGAACCCCTACTTGCAAAAACACAAGAGCCAGGCAGATCTGCACACTTGAACATAAACACTGGAAAATAACTTCAACTGTATGATTCCTGTGTTAACCAACATCTCCAGAGTTTTTAAACTTTTTTTCGTTATTCAGTAAACTAATAAAAATACCATTTCAGTGACTGCATGACTGCAGTTCCATAGGAGAAATGTAAACACTCTGCGTTGAAGATGGGCAATATCTCGGATTACTTTTAGAGGAAATGAAAACTACCATTTGCTACTTATCCATTAGAGCTTAGCTCAACGTGACCCAAGTGAATGTTCAAAAAGTAGAAGTGAAAGGGGGTTCTCAGCACTTACTGAGTCTATAGGAATCCAGCTTGGTTGTGAACACACAATCTAAAAGAGGCAGATAGATTATCACTTCACTAAGTCAGCCAAGCCCCTCACTCTCCCAGAAAGTAAATCTCTCCCTGTCTCTATTGTCCTGACCCCCAGCTGCAGGGCAGAGAGCAAGCACTGTGGTCCAGCACAACACACAGCTTTCCAGCTGTCCCAGTGATGTAATTATCTCACAACAAAACATCTCCATGAATTAACTCTGCATCTTACCCATTGTAATTCTTAATGACTGCTTCCTGTTCATGTTCTCTATTTAACTTGCTATTCTGGATCTATTGCATAGGCAAGTTGTCTTCATCTAATGGACAGGATTACATGCAATAGGTTTGTGATTTCCAAAGATTGTAATTTACAAAGGTCTCCCCCAAACAACATGCTTTGGAAACACAAGCCCTGCCTTTCTATTGTGGTTATAATACAAGGGAAATCTGCATTATTGGCTGTGATTAAACTCTGACCTGTCACGGGAAGTTCTGTGAGGGTTTTTTTTCCTGTCACTTTCCCCCCCATACTCCTAAATGTCTGGACGTCAAATACCAAGATGTCTGGCACAGCTGACTAAGGACACTAAACACAATTTTATTTGAACTACAGCCTGTCTTTGGAATTAAGAAGAATGTTTTTAAATCTCTAATCTCTTCCTTTATAATCCACGGAGCACATCCTGTGGCTACAGCTTTCATGCACCACATCTATGTTCCCACATCCCACTACCCTACACTACTAGACACAGGCCAGGGAGTTCACATGTTGCTCATTAAACAGTGACAGGGGGTGCATTCATTTTCAAGGGACACACCTGGGTTTAACTCCAGAAGTATTTGCCACCAACAATCATGAACATGCTGCCAGAAGGAAATCGCCATTTCAGTGGCATCCATAAACCATTATCAGTGCCTACCATGTCAGGGACTGGGTTTGGTTTTAGAGAATCTGACAGACCAAAAGACAGGTATTGTATTTGAGAGCTCCGCTATCTATTTGTGTGAGACAAGACTTACATGTAAAACTGTAAGTAATGATATATATGGGTATGCATTAATTCCAAATAAATTCTATAAACAGTATATGGAACTTTATATATCACATCAGAGTAAATTCATTCAGCATCCTATTATATA